TGTAAAGTGCGCTTGGAGGCGCTTGGGAAGGAACAAAGTGTTTGTTTTAAAGGTTATTACTATAAAAGGAAATTTTTGCCAAAAATCGATTTATAGGAAAGAGTTTTTTTTTATACTTTGTTTTATTATGTTTATTTAATTAAGTATGTACAAACTTTTTTTATACAAATTTTTTATTTTTTATTTTCAAATAAAACTTACTAAGAATAATTTCTATTAGGTGACTTATTGTAAAATATTGATATATATTTAGCTAATATGTCAATATTTATTAATTTCCATTAAAAATTGTATTAAAAGAATAGACTATATTCGTGAGTTTGGATTATTCAAGTGATTTTATTGGTTAAAACGGTACAATAAATATGATAATTTTTTTTAATCACTTATTTTTTTTTTTATATTTTTAATTATATTGCTTTTATGTTTTATTACAACTAAATAAATAATTGATTAAAAAGAAATAAAAAAAAAATAGAAATAACAATGAAAATAATGAAAACAATAAGATTAAGAATTGATTGTAATCTTTATAATATGCAATTGTCATTTCCTTATAATAAATAACAAATAAATAATTTATATAAAATTAAATAATATTAAAACTTCAAATATATATTATACTGTATGTATATTTATAATATGAAAAACGATATACAGTATAAAAATTCAATTAATAATGATATTTTTATTATACTGTATTTAAATAAAAATATTAAAACGCTTTAAAAATTCAAATTTAATTTAATAATTGAATGTATTTGCATAAAAACTTGAATGAATTAACAGAATCCTAATGAACGAAATATAGACAACAGGAAATACATGGAATGAAAAATATGAAACAATAAAATTATAAATTATACTGTATCAAGAAAACAATTTTTTTAAATAAATAAATATAAAATTATAAAATAACCATATATTATATAATTTTTTTAAAAATAAGTATTAAATGGTTTAACAATTAATGTATAAATATTATAACGTTTTTTTAATAATTAATATTCAAGTAATTATTTTTTTTACGCAAAATATAATTTTTGAATAATTCAATATTAAGTTTAGATCAACAATCATGCGTTTACACAAATTCAATTAAAAATCGAGATCTTTAAGATGATTTACAAAATGTAAATTCATTTTTACAATATTATCTGCTGCATATGTAAATCGACAACCAAAAATTTTTATTTTTAGCACTCACCTAACATTCCAATTTTATTAATTGAAAATTTCATTTCATTATTACGGAATTATTATTTGGTTATATATTATTTTCGCGGCGCCTTTGGTTCATAATATATCGCATTACCGCGATAATACTGTAATTTAATTTTTTTTTTTTTTAATGATGATGGGTTTACTGTTTTTTTTTAAAAAGTGCATAATAACCTAATACGATCAACAAATTGGTATGCGATTTATTTTTATCCCCAACTAACTGTATATGGATATGGTTTAGGGAGCACTATTTTACTATTTTACATGTTTCATCTAATAACATTTTTCCTTAGGATCAGCGAGTAACCTGTGATCATGAAATCCCTTAAAAAAAAATCAAAGAATAATATATAAGGTTAGTGAAATCTCTTATTACAAAGCGTATTATTTAATATATTAAGGAAATAATTAGATTTTATGGACACATCTCTTTTATATTATTTCGAATATTAGATTAAACATCAATGTTTGAATATTTATAGATATAGTCAACGCTTCCGATTTCGATTTCATTCTAGCCTTTGGATGTTGCTTTAAGAGGTGTTTGGATTGTTGATAAATTGAGAATCGTATGTTTACTCTTCATTTTTATGCGTGATTTTGCAGCACGCAAGCACTTAGCAAGTAAAGAGTGCAAATTCCCGTTGAATTACATCCTCATGATTTGAGAATAAAGAAACATCATTTACCGTATGCAGCGTCTTGTTTTCAGTCAATTCATTATCATGCCGTGTTGCGTTGTGATCTGGCCAGATAAAAATAATAAAATGGTTTACAATAAGCAATGAAAATGATTACGATAATTTGGGAAAAAGCGTTAAAAGGATCCAACTGATTTTTGCCCAATCTCTGATCGATTGAATGTATCAGTTTATCAATCAATGCATGATCAATTTCTGTAAAAAAAAGAAATCGATACGTATAAACAATCTATGGAATGGACAAGAGTTGTCAATGAAAAAAAAAACCAATTTATGATAAAAGAAAGGATATCATTGTAATTATCGAAAGAGAGACAATAGAGTAATTTTAGAAAAGAAAGTATCGATAAACAGTCGTAGAAATAGTTTAATCGGAATTGCCACACCACATCTCAAAAAGTAGACGTATACAGTATATGCCGTATATATTGAATTCATTTTTTTTATTATTCTATTTATATTTGTCGTGGATCTACTTTGTTTATTTCATGGAATGAGTAATGCTTAACCAAATTTGTACACTTTTCCAACGGCAAACCATGACAACCAGATACAACATATTGCTTGCAGATGATTCCAAACAGACTTTTCTCTCGTCCCCCTGCCGCATTTTCCAATATTCAAAAAAGTTCCATCGATTGTGAACGACGGGTGTATCACCCAACGTGAAAATCTATGCCAAACGCAGTTGTAAGATGCACTTCGAATCAGTGGATTCTTGCATTCTTGCACAAAAGGATTTCAATTAAAGTTTACGTAATTTTTCCCTAACAAGATTCCTTGTTTTCTAATTCGATATCCATAATACGGATTTACCCCCTATTCTAAAATAAATTTTTTTGCGAGTCTGACGAGGCTGGTTCGGGGAAGGGAGTTTGTGGGACACTTGTGACAATCAGGGTTAGCGCCACATCACTGCACAGAAGGATCGGCGTCGATTCACACCGGGAAGGGATGGCGTGTGCCATGTCGTTGAATACGTACGAACTGTATATGGTCGCAAATTATTGTCGTACGAAATTTCTCCGTGTAATTTTATCTTGTTAGTCATAATTGCACTGGACAATTTATGTCAATTCCTATTTTTAGCTGTATCCGGGAAAAGTTAATTATGTCTAAAATACTATCGGGAACTGATGCCCCTCTTGTTTCATCGCATGCAATTGGGAGAGGTGACAACTGGAACTTAAATGTAGAGTACAAACACGTACACCGAGGTGCTTGTGTATTGAGATATTTTAGCTGTTTACAGAGACATTTTAGCTGTTTTTTTTTTATTTTACTTTATTATGATTGAGATGTTTTAGCCGTTTTTTTTTTTTTTTTCTATCCACAATGCTTGAATGCAAAACAACGCATCACAAATGATGGGCACCTTGTTTATTTTTACCACTTCATTGACGGGCGGAACGGTGATCGATTCATTGTCATTCCTGTTAAAAGGAGCGCGATTTTGAGTTGCCCTTTTCCTCACCGATATTTCTTTGGTCATTTTCAAAAGACTAGAATTGTCTTAAGTGAAAATAAATAATGAGATCTATATTCATATTCACTTTTATTTGCCTGATATGCTACATTCTTCCGGGCTCTGCGGTGCCTCTAAACGAACGCGATGACGAAGTTACGCCGTCGCTCGTCCAAACCGATTTTTTCAAAGCTTTTCAGCCGTTGCCGGAAACTCCAACAAATGTTGTTCGCAGTTACACCTTCGAATTAAAGAAAGTTCCATTGGCAATTGATGGTGTTTCCCGCCTGGTATGGGCTGTGAATGGACAGTAAGTAGCTATAATCTTTCGTACACCGCATGGTCGTTCGTTAAACTCGGAATCTTAATCGAATCTTCTCGACATGAAACAAGGTATCCGGGACCTATGATCCGCGCGAATAAAGGCGATACGTTCAATATCACGGTGATCAATAAATTTGGCGATCCAGCTACAAGTATGCAACATGCACATATCTGTCACTTTTCTGCCAAAACAATTACTAATTACTAATTGGGTCTAATTTACGAATTCAAGTTCACTGGCATGGTCTCGATCAAAAAGGCTCCAATTGGTATGATGGAGTTCCCGGGATCACGCAGTGTCCGATTCCAAACGGAGTGACCTTCTCATATGTATTCAACCTTACCCAATCGGGAACTTATTGGTATCACTCTCATTTCATTGCTCAATATGTTGACGGCTTAAAGGTAAAGTATTTATAGTATACAGTATATTTATTTATTTTTTTTATTTTTTTTTTTTAACAATCATTTACACCATACCATCGAACTTGCTTAGGGACCTATCGTCATCTATGACCAGGATGATCCGTATAAAAAGGACTACGACTACGAATACGTGTTAGAGGTGTCCGACTGGTATCACAAGCCGACCGGCGATTTTTTGCCAGAGTTTCGCAGTCGTACGTGGATGTTTCAATCTTGAAAATTGTTCTTACTTTGCATGATGATGGATAGTTCTGACAATAAATAATAAATTTCATTTATTCTATAGCAACTTACTTCGCGGCCGACCCATTCCCTGACTCTGGGGAAATTACTGGCGTCGGGCAGTGGAACTGCACTATTCCGACATGCAAACCCACGAAATTTGCCACCTATAAAGTCACAAAGGGTAAAAAATATAGATTCCGAATTATTAACACGAGTGCCATGGCCCATTTCACGATTTCCATTGACAATCACCCACTCAAGATCATCGAAGTCGAAGGAACAATAGTCGAACCGGTCACTGTTGAAGTGCTCTCGGTTAACATTGCTCAACGGTATTCTGTAATCGTTGATGCAAATCAACCGATCGAAAATTACTGGATTCGTGCAACTCTTTCGAATTGCAGTTTACCGGGTCAATTTCCCCTAACCATCAATTATAACGAAACAAAAATATTTCAAAACATGAACATCACTGGCATTCTGAAATACGAAGGAGCACCGGACACTCTTCCCACCTCCCAGGCATACCCCGCGAATGAATCCGATTGCACGGATCAGGATCCTACCACCTTGAAACCCAAATCGTTATCCCCATCGGTACCAACAGGCAATGCTACACGCATTCCTCTTTTAATTGAAATTGTAGGTGTTCCGCAGTTGGAAGCAACGATCAATAATTCATCGATAGTTTTGGACTTCTCCTATCCATCCAATAAAAAGGTTATTGATGGAGCCGGGTTCATTACCTCCGATAACGCGTATGCTTACGATAATCCCGGTGGTGCGATTGAGATTCTTTTAATGAATACCGAAGGCAGAACTCATCCTTTCCATTTGGTAAGTTTCGGCTACTGTTAAATCCCTCCGGCTTCGTTTTATTGACTTTATCCTATTTCAAATAGCACGGACACTCGTTCTGGGTAGTCGCCGAAGGAATTTTTAACCAATCACTTGACACTTTGAAATACAACTTTGATAATCCAATTTACCGTGATACCGTAACCGTCAAACCATTTGGGTACTGTAAACCATTTTAGCATCACTTTTTTAACGCTTCGCAATATATTAATTAGATCACGCGACTAAAATAAATAATCTCTCAAAATTTTTTCACAGTTTGACAGCGATCAGATACTATGCGGATAATCCGGGTGTCTGGTTGATCCATTGTCACATCGAATGGCACGTCGAAATGGGAATGGTTGCTCAACTAATCGAGAATCCTAGTGTGTTCAACAAATCCTCTATTCCGGAAGCAGTCTTGGGTCTTTGCGAAGCATTCGATAATGGAAGTTCGTAATATCATAATGAAAAATAGAGCATTCACATTTAATATGTATTTTTAGTCTTTTCCTGTATTTTTAGTGTAACAATAGGAATGTACCGTAAAATATAATAAAAATGAAAACAATAATACTATTTTATTATTAATGAACATTTGAATACAGTAATTTGAACAATCACAATGATATAATGTGCAGTCACAAACTTTACAGATCAATCGTGTAAAGAAAATCCATCAAAGTTTCGTGGTGAATTTTTCTTTGTTAGAAGAGAGAGAGTGTGTGTGTTTAATGAACTTCTTAATCTGTATTTTTTTTCATTCTTTTTCGGCCAAGATGATGCGAATTTAGTATTAGAAGCACTCGAGACACGGGGAATACGTTATTTGTCTCAAGGGATGCATGTTAATGATGAAATCGAGCAGGGTGTATCACTTTTCATGTTTTTCCATTCCAATAAAATCCAACAAGGACAAAACCCGTAAAGGTTACACGAAAAGTGATGGATGGCCACAACACGACATCGTAGTACGCAACATACGTATGACCATATTTTTTTAATACTGAGATGAAACAAATCCACAAACGCTGTGTGTACCATCGAAAGAGCACTGAGATAAAAAAATTCTGCAGACAGATGATTGAGCATTCGAATTCTTTGAGAACGCTGGTGAGTTGACCTCATATTTGGCGTGAGGCTCAATGAGGTTTATTTGAAATCGCAGCATGGTAGGAGATGGCACGGCCCGCTTTTAAGTTTGCGTTTCGAGATTGGAGTATTTTTTAAACGAAAAAAAAATCAAAAATGACTAATTATTAATTCCCATTTGATGATTTGTTTGGGTTAATTATTATTATTTTTTTTAAAGGCATTTTTGTCGTCTTCAAAGATAATCCATTTATCAATGTATACAGTGTATACCGTATATGCAACATAATAATAATAATAATTTTTATTAACCTACTTAATCGATGTTCATATACGGTATCTCAGCACATTACTTTGCTCTTGAAAAAAAAATAATAATAAAGGAATTGAAGGAGAAAATAAAATTATAATTAAATAATACTTACTGTATACACTGTATATGCGTAGATCATTATTAAAGTTTAATGTGATTGAAATTTAAGATAATGCCACATTTTTTTGTCCAGTTCATGTAAATAAAGTTTATTAATTAAAAAACAGCTAAAATGTCTCTGTAAACAGCTAAAATATCTCAATACACAAGCACCTCGGTGTACGTGTTTGTACTC